CTGCTCCGCGACGGGAGGGTGCTCGTCGGCGGGAGCAACCCGCACGTGTACTACAATTTCACCGGGGTCATGTTCCCGACGGATCTCAGCCTGGAGGCTTTCTCGCCGGCGTACCTGGACGGGAGCTTCGACGGGGTGAGGCCGGCGGTGGTGTCGCCGGCGTCCGGGAGCGGGGTGGCGTACGGGCAGAAGTTTGCGATTCGGTTCACTGTGGCAGCGGGGGATGTGAAGGCGGATGACGTGGCGGTGACGATGGTGGCGCCGCCGTTCACGACGCACTCGTTTGCGATGAACCAGAGGCTGCTGGTGCTCGGGAGCGAGAAGTTGAGGAGCGTGGCGGCGGGGAGCTACGAGGTGACGGTGAGCTCGCCGGGTTCGCGGAATTTGGCGCCGGCGGGGTATTATATGGTGTTTGTGGTTCATCGGGAGATTCCCAGTACAGGGGTTTGGGTCAAACTCCACTGATTGACTGCTTGGCGATTCTTCTTCTTTCTTTTTTTATTGTTTAATTAATAAACGTGATTAAATACATAGAGAGGGGAGAATATATAGTTTTATGTGAGGGAGATTGAAATGTCGTGAGTAATTAAATGTGTTGATGTATAGCGAGATTGGTTCTGGACTTCTGTTTACGTATATTAATAGAGTTTTCCCATAAATAATTTGTGTTTTTTTAATTCTTCATCATATACTATAATCTAGGACAACAATGATCGCTAATTTTAGTATGATGATTGTAATATTCTATCCCGTAAAATCAGTAAAATTATTGATTCAAACTCGAAATTTAAAATAAAGATAAACGAAATGAGTCAATAATAATAAGAGGATTGTGCGTCCCTAGATCAACAAACCGATCAATTGTAAGGTGGCAAAACACAATCTAATGTTAGTACATAAGAAATTTTTTGCCCGCCTACATAATTTAATACGAAAAGATTCCTCCTCCAATTTTGAAAGTTTATAGTATTTCCTAGAACACCAAATATACATCTTGCATTATTAGATGTACCGCAAATTCAACACATCAAACTTATTTTTTAATTGTTCGAATCCTTTAATCTTTTATTTGAATCCTTGTGTTTGGTTATGATCATTGTTTGTAGCTAAAAGACAGAACAATAAAATTTACTATCCAAGTTTCACATTCTTATCGCTATTAATGAAACAGTGTCAATCACTAGCTATATAGGCGATATTCCAATATATGAAACGTAACAATATCACGATAAAATTATATCAAATTTATCTTGACGATACACAATCAAACTAATGCGGACATAATTTTACAAACATCATAACTGACAAAGTAGCCACCCAACCAAAATTACATTACACGATGACAATAAATGTCAGCCGCGGTTACGCATTGCCCATTAAATTTGCCTTCATTGTTTTCCTGCCAAGTGAGGCTGATCGAGTACAACAGTAATTGACTTGCTTTCTAATATACACAGCATATATATATACGTACATACATTTAGGGATTGATATCATATATCCCTTTCACCACAATTCGTAGGTTACGTTTAAGTTACGGCCACCGGTTGGTCAGGGAGCTGGGCGTGGGTCACCGATCCTTTACAATTCATGGGCCCCTTAATTGGTCTCATTGGTTTGGGAGGTTGCTTAACGAGTTAACCATCGTATGAATAAGGAAATGGCTATAGTCACAGCGGTCAGATATTAGTAATTAATTAGCGGGTAATTGTACACGATTAGCTATCAGTAAACTAATTTGGGGTTTAGCAATTTCACACATGTAGGGGTAATTACTTGATTTGTCGATAAATGGTATAAAAAGATTGATTATGAGCTTGCCTAAATATGTTAGTTTTCCTCATATGGTTAATGGGGTTCTTTTGGATTGTCTCTGAAAATTTAGTTTGGAATAAGAAAGGTGCTAAAAGCACCAAGTCGAATATTGGACGACTCTCTATCCAACTAATCTACCTACTTCCACAAGTAAATGGTAGATCTTGCTCAAATCTAGCAATATGGTATGAAATTTCAATTGAGATACATAAGTTGTCGTGTTTAAACACATCATGCAATGTATTAATTCATGTATTATTGATTCTTTCTAATGACTTGAGATAAAAAGGTAAAAGCGTTTCTTGACACTCTACTAATATATTGATAATTCTTGTATCAATCTTCTTATATATAATGCCGAATCTCAAAATCAATGGCTAGTTTAAGCATAAGTTATAATGAAAATCCATACAAATTGTAAACCTAATTTGATACACTTTTATTAGAGGAGACGTATGATACGATGATATAACATTCCCATTTTAAAGACGATACCGTTAAAAAACTTCAGACAAATCTTTTAATCGAGAAGTCACATCGCGTAGTGCCAAAATCCCTGCTAGTGCTACTATAAACTAGAAAACATGTTACTAGAATACGTGTTTGTCCAAATAAATCTTGGATCTGTTCTTTTATCTCGTGATTGCTCTCTTTTGTTTCCATCATTTACCGTAGTTTTGACTAGCTAGCTAGCTTACACGTTCAGTTTTGGAATCATGCATTCACGAGGATCCAGCTAGCTTGCTAATAGACAACAACTTGGCAACTTGACAGAGCTCTTCAGGCAGACAACAGCAACCAAGAGGAGACTACATGATCATTGTGTATAGACTACATGATCATTGTGTATCCGATTGTTGAGAACCTGCAGAGCAATTCAACGATGTTGTTAGAAACAAGGTTTCTAACGGGTTTATAATTGGGATTTAGGGATTTGAAGAATAAAATTAGGGATTAAGAAGTAGAATTTGGGGAAGAACAGAATTGGGGATTAGGGATTTAGAAGAGGAAATTGGGGATCGAGGAGAAGAATGGCCGACGGCCTAGGGATAGGTGACGAATTTGAGAGAGATTAGGGTTTGAGATACTTTTCTGAATAATTGTTCTTCCTTCCTTCTGAATAAAACGCAAAGTACATATTTATAACGAAAGATAGGAAAACCTAATACTAAACCTAATTCTACTAAAAGACTACTAACCATATTTAATAAAACCTAATAATAATGATAATATAGAAACTCGTTTTCCTTAGAAAACGTGTTTCTAACATCTCATCCCCCTTGAGACAACCTTGCCCTCAAGGTTGATCAGCTTGACCCATTTCTTCAAGTCTACCGTGCAATCCACATCTTGCCTCCTCCATTCTTGCGCTTTCTTTTCTTCCAATTGTGCTCCACTATTTGAACGAATCCCACACCAGCGACTCTGACTCCAATGGCCTCTTCCCAATCCACGTGACGCAAGTTGCAACCATGATCAAATATCCTTCCATCATCCTTTTCAAACTCCACAATATAAGAATGGGTTAAAGACACATTTGGTCACTAAGATTACTAAATCGGGACATGTTTAGTCACTAGAAAAAGTTAATATCAAACTTGGTCACTATAATTACTAAAATGGGACACATTTAGTCACTCGCCGTTAGTTGCCGTCCAACTCCGTTAACAGAGTCTGCTATGTGCTGACGTGGCTAACGTGAGCGCCTTTTTGGGCCGGAAATGGTCAAACCCGACCCGCCACGTCACTAAACCAGCCATATCATAAACCCAATCCAACCCATGAACCGAACCCGACCCTGAACCAAAACCGACCCACTTTAACAAAAGCAAACCCGCTTCTCTTCTCCTTCCTCTCGTTCCTCATCTCCCCACCTCCACCTCTCACAAGCTTCTACCACCACAATCTCCCGCCGCAAAATGGAAACAGAGCCTCTCCACCCAACAGCCGCCAACGACGGGGGAACAAAATCGCCAACGATGAAAGCAACAATTACCTTCTGATACAAAACAGGGGAGGAGCGAAAACAGGGGAGGCGAAAACCAGCAGCAGAATTTCAATTGGTGGAGGTTTCAGAAGTTCAATTACAACGTCGAGAGCTACGTCCTCAACTTCGATTGCGGATTGGACGAGGAGGAGTGTGACTACGTTAATGGGTTTTCAAGAACTCTGTTCCCTCATCGAGATTAGGGTTTTCAAGAACTCAGGGGATAAGTGATAGGTGAGGGATCAGAGGTTCGATCAAGAATGGGGTTTCTCGGATTTGGTTGGTTTCCCTGGCGGCAGCAGGGGAGAAGTAGGGGATAAGTGGTGGGTGAGGGAACGGAGGTCCAATCGAGAATGGGGTTTCTCGGATCTGGTTGGTTTCCATGGTGGTAGCGGGGGAGAAGCAGAGGATAAGTGGTGGGTGAGGAATCGGAGGTCGACGGCGGTGGTTGGCGCTTCTAAGTTTGGAGGAGAGCTCATGGAGGATGTAGAGAGGCTCTGTTCTCTTCGTCTTGGTAGCTGCCGGCGGCGGCTGTTGGGTGGAGAGGCTCTGTTTCCATTTTGCGGCGGGAGATTGTGGTGGTGGAAGCTTGTGAGAGGTGGAGGTGGGGAGATGAGGAACGAGAGGAAGGAGAAGTGAGGCGGGTTTGCTTTTGTTAAGTGGGTCGGGTTTGGTTCAGGGTCGGATTGAGTTCATGGGTTGGGGTTATGATATGGCTGGTTTAGTGACGTGGCAGGTCGGGTTTGACCATTTCCGACCCAAAAAGGCGCTGACTAGGCGCTCACATTAGCCACATCAGCACATAACAGACTCTGTTAATGGAGTTGGACGGCAACTAACGGCGAGTGACTAAATGTGTCCCGTTTTAGTAATTATAGTGACCAAATTTGATATTAACTTTTTCTAGTGACTAAACATGTCCCGATTTAGTAATCTCAGTGACCAAATGTGTCTTTAACCCATATAAGAATCATAGAGTTTTTTCTTCTTTGAGCCCATCCTCTAAGCCCATGAATTCCTCTTCTATTTCTTCCAAATCTAATCTCTTGGGCAGATAACCCATAAGAGGTCCAAGTTGGATCCAAACTAGCGGACTCATTTGTGGCCCATAAAAGGGCATTTTCAGCCCAAATCGTGCTCTGCTTTGCTGATCCAGTTGGCCCACATTAAGCCCAAACTTTGGCCCCACTATCTTAATCTAACTTCCCAACTTGTGGCCCAAACTGCAGTAGCATTCCCCCACCCATCCGCCCATTTCTCTTGGCCCAGCAGACATCTTAGCCCGACCCATTTTTCCCAACCAAGCTTGGTCTGGTTCTCCTTGGCTGGTCAAGCTAGGGTTCGTGAGAGGGAACCTGCCGCCGCCCCTCTTCCGCACTTCCTCCTCCGGCCGCGAACGAAACACTGGTTGGTCGGCCGTCACGCCTGGAGCAACCACACACGGCGTCTGCAAATTCCTTTTCCCGGCAGCCAACGCCTTCACCGGCGATTCCTCCTCCCTCCTGGTCGCCAACTCAAAGAATTTCGTCGCCATCTTCTTCCTCGGCGGCGAACAGGGCACCAGGCAGCGGGGAGCAAAACCCGACTCCGGCCTTGTCTCAACCTTCATTTTCCCATCGTCGGTCATTGATTCCCAGGAGAGAGAGGAGTCGCCGTCTCCTTCCTCCATCTTCGTTTGCTTATCCGGCTCTTTATCCGGCATGTATTCCATCCCGCGGCGAGGAGGCGAGCTCGCTCCGAATCTCGCCTTATCTCGCCTCATTGCGTCCTTGGTCGTTGTCACCTCGTCCGGAGCCACCCTCCCTCGCGCGACCAAGGATGCCACGCCGTCTCTCTGCTCCGGTATTTCTTCAATCGAAAGCTCCGGCGAATTCCTCTTCGGCGAATAGACTGCTTTCGGCAGATCCATCACTTCCTCTTTCTTCAGTGATAGAATCTTCAAGCGGCAGGAAGAAAGACTCAATCTAGCGCTCATCTTCTTTCCCGGCGGCAGATCTTCCGGCATCACCTCGATTGGGGCTGCCGTGCTAGTCCCCTCTTCCATAGTCGCCCCTCGGAACGTCGGCTCCTCTGCTCCGTTTCGTCTGTCGCGGGTTGCGGTTGGCATCTCCCAGTCTGCAGCTGGCGGATTGATCAACAAAGACGTGGGAGAGGCCGCGGAGACGGTCGACGTGGCAGTCGCCATCTCTGCTTCGTCGCTTCTTTGCTTCTTCTGAAACCTCCAGTTCGCAAGGCGACTCGTCATTGGTCTTTCCACTGCATCTTCTACTTGGAATTCTTCTACAAAGGCGGTTTCCCTCTTGATTTCGGAAACAGTGGTGGCAGCGACAAGGTCTCCTACGCTTTTGTCCACCGGTGCTGCTTCTGTTTGCTGCTCGGGCTTCGGCGTCGCAGCTCTTCCCGGCATCACTGTACCTCCCGACGCAGCTGGCGCTGTTCCGCTCGGCTGAAACGTTGTCGCGACCTCGCGCCCTCTTTCGAAGACTCGCACTGCTCCACCACCGTCTTCTATTTGCGCGGTCGTCGACTCTTCGGACAGCCAACGACGTCAGATGCGGCGGGCCTGGTCCCGTAATTCTGCCCATGACAAGTCCGAGAGCCTTGAAGAGCTCATCCTCGAACTTGTTGTAGAACTCGTCCCCGGTTGAGAGTTGTGAAAAACTCAATTCTCAAAACCGGGCTCTGATACCAAATGTTAGAAACAAGGTTTCTAACGGGTTTGATGATTGGGATTTAGGGATTTGAAGAATAGAATTAGGGATTAAGAAGTAGAATTTGGGGAAGAACAGAATTGTGGATTAGGGATTTAGAAGAGGAAATTGGGGATCGAGGAGAAGAATGGCCGACGGCCTAGGGATAGGTGACGAATTTGAGAGATATTAGGGTTTGAGATACTTTTCTGAATAATTGTTCTTCCTTCCTTCTGAATAAAACGCAAAGTACATATTTATAACGAAAGATAGGAAAACCTAATACTAAACCTAATTCTACTAAAAGACTACTAACCATATTTAATAAAACCTAATAATAATGATAATATAGAAACTCGTTTTCTAAGTGTTTCTAACAGATGTCACCATCACGCTGCTGAACTCCCACACTTTGTGTGGTCGTGTTAGCATAATAGTGAGATTGATACTCAGTGAATGTTATGGTAACTCGAAAACTGCCGCAAACGATTCTAAGTATTTATCACTCTCTGTAGTCATTCATGACGACGGAGGGTTTTTGTTTCCGTCCGGTTGCGTATTGATCGAGTGATGATATTGAATGCAAAATTTGGATTCGATATGTAATGAATGCCGATCATTGAGTTTCTTACACGTTACGAGTGAGCAAATTTCTAATATAATGTACTTTCTTTTAGATAATACTTCTATTTTCATTAGAATTTAGAAGCTGTTAAAAAAATGAAAGGAATTATAGGGTATAAGCTAGAAAATGATATATTATGATAATTAAAGCTCTCTTAATAACTTAAATAATTAGGACGTGACTATTGCTATCAGAACTTACCAACGACTCCACATGCATGAGAACATTTGGGTGCTGATTTCCTCTGATTCGCCATGAGAGAAAAGCTAAATTTGGCAGCAACCATTGCACATGGAATGATACACAGAAGATATATATACTGTTATCTTATCTGATTATTGATAAATCAACTGTACTACAAAGGTGTTAGTGAATGGTATATAATCCACAATTAAACTTATTCCAACCATTCGAGTTGTTGGGAGAAGGTTATGTTGGATCTTATACAGGCTCATGTATGATATTTAACCACTTCCTTACACACCCCCTCAAACGAAAGCCGACTCATGGGTTTGAAGTTTGCACAGGCCCACCATACCTTGTGCTTTAATCAACTGTTAATATTGGGGGTCGTGGAGATTCGAACACACGACCACTTGGCCAAACAAGCTCTGATAAGGAATATAATTCTACTCAATTACATATGTAATTGGGTAGAATTATATTCCTTATCAGAAGTTAGGTTATTTCCGTATTAGTGTTAGGGTTATTATCTCTGTACTTTATATAAACCCTAACACTTATACGGAAATAACCTAACTTCTACGAGTCTAATAAGGAATATAATTCTACCCAATTACATACTAGTACTCGTAGTATAACACAATACTACTCGTACTACACATACACTAATATAAGGAAAGCCCGCGCTCCGCGACGGGCGATCATTTGTGATACGTGTCGCATTATATAACATTAGGCCGTAAAAGAAAAGGAATATGTAAACTAATGAAACAAACAACCCTTGTTGCATAATAGTATTCTGCCTATCCTTTTTCATTGTTACTTCAACTATAGTTTATGCGAAAACTTACAACTTTTGAGCTTCATTTATCAATAATATAAAATGAATGGGCAAACTTCTAATACATGCCACGAGACATCATAAAGTTGAAACCTTTTGTCATGTACAAATCTCAGTACAGTTCTATATGCATAAATACCCTTATTATTATCATAGTTATACAGGAAAATAGTACGTGTATGGAAAATGTCAAATACCCCACGTGCAATGATATCATAAAACTTTTTCATTGCATCCATAAAGCTGGTTTGGCATAAGTGTGCTATCCCTGTACGCTCGTGTCCTATTCCTAGCTTGTTCCCAAGCTGTAAAATGCAACATTCCTAGAAAAAGGCACCGACTATAAGGACTACATTAAGAGCTTCTTCTTGAAGAGCTATGAGATGCAGATTACATTAAAATTTGCTGAGGCATTCCATTATTTTTCTGTTGTCCATTATGCAGCAGGGTTCACCTACAACGAATTAAAGGAGGCATGCAACATGGAACTGGACAAAGACCAGGGCATGACAAAACAATCACAAAAAGAATAAGGAACGACATGAGAGACTGAAAGAGTAAGTACCGGTGTTCGTTGTGACCAAGTAGTCCAAGGGCGAGCAACGAGTTTTCGGTTATTTGTTGTTGATCGGAAGGACATTAGGTTTACAGTGAATTTGAGATCACTGGTGGTCGGCTCGATCTGGTCCGGAAGTAGGAGAAGTAGGAAGGATTTGATGTTCGCGACAGTTGGAGGGGAAAATCAATTTGCGACTCCGTTGGGCATTTGTGCCCTCGCTTATGCTTCAAGAGTTGACCGCCTCTATCTGCTCGTCCGCCATCCGGAGAATCATAGAATAAAACCACTTCTTCTTCGCCTTCTAACTCCTTCTTCCTCGTTGTGGAGAGAGAAAGTAGATCCGCACAAATGAGGAAAGAGGAAGTTTGTGTGGCTGGGAAGAGTTGAAGAAACAAAAGCAAACAAAATATTTAAAAATACCCTTAAAGTTTTATTTAGTAACGAAATGGTCACCTGGTAATCACCCCGACACTCTCGACTGAAAATTCGACAACACCGAGTTTAGTTGAGTTAATTTAACTCTAAGAACCAAAACGCATAAACATCGAACTAAACCACTTTAATAAGATTGATTGTTTTACAATTTAGCAACGGGTTGGATGGAAATCAGATCGACTATTTAACAAAATTCACACCTGAACCAACCCATCAATTACAAAAGCGGCCAAAACTCGCTCTTGGTCCAAATTTCGTGATCACCAACCAGGTTCAAGTATTTCTAATCCGGTCGAATTAGCATGAACACCCGTGAATTTGGGTTCAATTGTCAGAAACACTTAAATTTTAAATGACACTACTACTGATAATAATAACAACAATCTTAAGAACACAAAATGAAAAAGAAAAATCTAACTTCAAAGAAATTTTAAATGGCATAGAGACGGTAGTAAAGGCAAGTGAGGCGAGTTTTTTAAACAGACTTACCCAATCCGTCAATTACAAAAGCGTTTAAAACTCGTTTTCGAACCAAAATTCATCAACACCCGGTTGAACACCCATTATTTTATGCGATTAGTTTTCATTTAAAAAATGGATAAGAATATTTAATTTTTTATTAAAAGTTAAATACTTGAATAAGTTTATCAACCCAAAATTTGTCAACACCGTGTTCTACTTGCTTTGAATGGGTCCAATTAGATCGAATCCGCAATGGCTTGGGTTCAAGGGCAAAACGACAAAAGATTCGTCAACACTTGATTCAACTTTCCTTGACTGGTTAGATAAAGAGGGTCGTATTTTTAACAAAAGCCACACCAACCCTTTTTTTTATCACAGAATCGGGTAAAATGCATTCTAGACCCAATCCAATGATTACAAAAGAGAATAAAATTCATCCTTGCCCCCAAAAGCGTCAACAACGGGTTCTACTTGCTTTGACCGAGTCGAATTAGATCGAATATGAGCCACTTGGGGTTCAATATGGGCTCAATCGCAAAGCGACAAAAAATCTTGAAAACTGGATTCAACTTTTCTTACTAGTCTGATAAAGCGGGGTGAGTTTATAAAAAATTTCACACGCGACCCGATTTGTTTGCTGCAAAAGCGGGTAAACTAGTTCCTAACCCAAAATTCGTTCACACTGGATTCAACTTTTTTTCTGAACAGTATAATAAAGTGGGGTGAGCTTCTAAATAAATTCACACGCGACCCAATCTGTTGATTACAAAAGCGAGTAGAACTCGTCCCCGACCCAAAATTTATCAACGCTGGATTCAACTCGATAAAGCGCGACGAGTGTTTAACAAAATCCACACCCGACCATTTGGTTAATTGCAAAAGCAGATACAATTCGCACTCGACCCAAAATTTGGGTTTAGTCATAAGAGAAAATATCTAAAACATTTGATGAATTATCAAAAGTTTAACAATAAAACAATTCTAATTTATGTGGATTTATCAAATAGTAACTTTTGTGTTTGTTCTTTTAAACATGAAAAATTAGATCAAATATCCATTGATTTAAGCGTGCAAGCAAAAATCTCGTCAACGCCGGGTCGATCTCGCTTTAACCGGGTCGACATTATGTCAAATACTAAGCGTGTAAGCAAAAACTCTATTAGTTGATTTAAGCGTGTAAGCACATACCTCGTCAACGTCGAGTCGAGCTCGCTTTAATCGGGTCGACATTTGGTCAAATACCCATTGATTTAAGCGTGTAATAAAAAACTCGTCAATGTTGGGTCGAACTTGCTTTAACAAGGTCGACATTAGCTCAAACCCATTTGACGGGTTCAACTTGCTTTAACCGGGTCGAAGCAAGTTAAGCGTGTAAGCAAAACCTCGGTTT